AGTGTGTAGCGAGGGAAAGACAAGCGCTTAGTGACTGTATCTAATTAGCTGAGTAAAAGACCTCCCCTAAACTATGTGAGAGAGGATACACTTGTAAATGCCTGTGTCAAACACAGACACTCATGTTGAATGGGATATTTATGTAGAGCCAAGTATCTGGCTTTCTGTCATTGCTTTTAGTAACATTAGCCCTAACCACCAAACATCTGTTGAGAAATAATTCACTGTTTTACTTCACACTGACAGTGAGACCCGTTCAAAATCTTTACTGAATCCTGAATCCTTTTTCACTTTTACTTCTCCCACAATATCATTCAAGTCCTCACTTTGCACAACCCCACCCTATATGGACAACCTTAAGTGTTACTGTCCACTACCTTTTTTGGGGATCAGAAATGAATGGATTGTCATTACAAGGGCTACAGCACAACAAAAACAGTTCTACTGCAAAGTATAAAAAAAAGAAATATTCCTCTTTCTCAGGGAAGTGAAAAAATAATAGTAAAACCCTTTTTGACAAATGTGTTTTTTAGAGAGACTTCCACATCAGCTGTCAGCTTCCATTGGACTAAAACCTCCACTATTCTGTAGGCGGTCTAGTGTTGTCAACCCTGAGGTCTAGTTACAGGGGCTCCATGTGATCAAAGAGAAAAGTTACTGAATCTTTGGCTGGAGTTTATCTCATGGCTTTGCGCCAAAATACTCCATCGTCACCAAGTATTACACTTCCTTTCATTTGATGTTTGTTTTTTTTTTTTTTATACCAGCGACACAGACTAACACAGTGTGAAACCATGATAGAATCCAATGAGGGAATGTGCAAATGATTTTAACCACAGTTTTTTACAAAACAAACTATGTTGATGTCCTTATCCAATGTTACAATATATATTTATTAGTCACAAAGACTGGCAGATCCGTATAGAGCTGACAAAATTCAGACTGATACATACCATGCAAGAACAAAGAAAACTGGTCATTTGTTGCCTGGCCATTTCATTCTTCAATAGAAATCAGGTGCCCAACTCCAGGAAGGTTTACATCACAAAATTACAGTACGGTGAGCATCCACCAGGGGGCTATGAAGTAGGCTCCAAGCATATTCCATTACATTTAGTTTTCCATCAAAGACAACAGAGAGGCTGTCAAAGTGTTAGCAGGTTAATTGCGTAACATTCTCACCAGAGCTGGAAATAACTCAAACAGAAATGTTGAATTACTTCAAAATGTGTTGTATTGTACCTGTGGGATTACTGATGACCTGGTGTTTGATGAATAGTTTGAAAAACTAGAAGACGGCCCCACAGCTCTGCTCCACATATTATGGGCTTCCTTCAACCATGACATGCCACAGATTACATAACTCGGCTGAATGTTTGGCCCCAGGCCCCCACTTTCTCCTACTATAGCTGTGACAGACTTAACGACCACTCTCTGCCCCCACTACTGTAGACATACACTGGGCTTTCACAGTTAAACACATGCTACACACACCAGCCCTGGTTCACCCATAGGCTGTAGGCAGAGACTCATAGTTTAGTTATGAAGTGGACACATAAATGGCAGACACACACACACACACACACACACACACACAGACTTAAATGCCACATGACTAAGTGAATTACCAGACAGTGGTTCCCTTCACTACTGTGCGCCCACGTGACAGAAAACAGCAGCTTTGTCATCAGACAGTGAGAGAGCAGAGAGCAATCTATCAGCAGCCTAACAAAGATGAGGGGTGAGGGCAGTGGTGGTGGTCAGAGAAGACTAGTGGCCACAAAGGTTAAAGAACCTATTCACATATGAAGAACATTGTGCTCCATTAAAATAAATGTATTTTAACTAAACCAACACTATGACATATGCCATATGCTTTTCATCACAACTATAAAGCAGTCTCATCTCTTGATCATTATAAGCAAAAAGGCAGTGAAAGAATGGGACCAAACACAAAACAGACTCTGAGTCAGTCATGTTATTCAACAAATAAAAGAAAAGCACGCAAAAGTCCAAAGCCCTTTTGGCCATATTGTCCTCCTCCATCCATACAGAGAGATGAGAGCCAGTGACTGAGCCAACTTATCTTGCCCTGGCCAGCTAATCCACAGCGTAAATCCTCCTCCTGAGAGCAACTCTGAGGCAGTTTAAATTGGCCACCTCTCCACAAGTCACCAGGAATTTAGGACTGTCCCCGTCTCCGTTATTCTCACAAGACAGCATAACAGCCCTGCAGTGTAAAGGAATGAGGTGTCCTACTGACAACATCACAGCTAGCACTGTCGACATATTGTTCTAAAATTATTTTTAGGATCATTTTAAATAGCAAACATCTTAAAGTGGTTTGAGTGACACTGGAAAGTCACTCTGCTTAGACTGCTCTTCTGCAATTCTGATCCTTACAAGGGATTTCCTTATAATGCTCACAAAGAAACCAAATCTGATCACATAAATATTTAATTTGAGTGGACATCTAAATTACTGCCCTAAAGCTCAGCAGTACATTTTATGGAGCATGTCATTTATCGGTATGGGAAATGCAACCATGCCTGTCAGAGTCAGCATTAGTCCCAGAATTGAGGCAGACATGCTTGAAAAATAGCTCTGGGCAACAACAAGATAGGAAGAGAGAGCAGATTAGATTTACTGTCTGACCTGAGAGGCAGATGAATGTCATGTAGTCTCCTTGACCACCAGTGGCCAGGAAAGGGATCTTCTTCTTGGTCCTGCGCTTCACCTGCACAGCAGCCAGCATCTTTTCATCGTGGGGTATGAACACCTCCTTGTTGATGACTGATTTGGCGTTCATCTTTGAAGTGGGCACAGGAGTGAAGAGGTGGAAAAGAGTTCAAGAGGAGACGGTGATATCCACTCTTCACTGAAATGAAAAACGGGAGAAATGAAAAATTTGACTCAGCATAGAAGTCGTCAACCTAAATTTTTCCCCATTCTCTACTTAAAATAAAAAAAGTAAAAATAACTTTCGAAACATCACATAAAAGCAGATTAATATATATTCAATGTGGCTTTGAGATTAAGTTTCCAAAGTAATACACACAAATGTTATTCTAAACTGATGGTCTGTTATCACCGTCCATACATCTCAGCTTTGAGT